TGGGTCAAGAACAGCAACAGCGGTTGCCAGGGGAGGGTGCGATGGGGCCAGACGGGGCTGCTCCGGTAATCCTGCTTGCTTCATTTCTCTATTATTATTATTATTATTATTTTTTATTTTTATTGTTTGGCAGTAAAGGAAAGGAAAATGGATGTTTGGCTGTTGATGTTTGATAGGGAATGGAATCAAGGATTCATTTGTTTTCTGTTTTGAATTTGATGGGAAGGAAGAAGAAAGGGTTTGATATCTGATGATGAATTGCAACAAAGACGGGGGATGGGGGTGTTTGTAGAGTGGTGTTTGAGTGTGCTAACGGGTTGATTAGACTTCCAATAGCCTGTTCAATTTTGATGTGCACGAACAAGGAAAAAACAACAATTGACAGCTCACAGTGAGAAATAGTTTCTAAATAGATTGTTTGTTTTGTGTGCATCTTTGTATAAAACAAGGGTTGTATAATAATTTGTATAAATATAGAAAATTGTTCACAATTTTCTTTTTGCATAATATTATGTAATTAATATTCCTTTATTTTTTATAATAAAAGTATTTTTTTTTTAATTAATTTTCATGCAATTTGAGTTTTCTATCGTCCATTATAGCAACGTACTTTCTTCCCATGTAAAATTTCCATTCTTGAATTACAAATATATTTTTCTTTTTATATTTATATGACCATCATACAAGTACATAAATTCACACAACATCAAATTTATTTGATTTTTTATAATAATCTGCTTAAAGGTTAAAGTTCCTTCAACTTTTATTAATCAATTTCTTATAATTATTTAATCGTCTCCTGCATAACTAATGATACAGTTTACTAGTTTTGCCAAGAATTGTTTTCGTCAATTTACTAGGTTTACCACATACCAAAATTTCCACTACATAATATCATTATGTAATTCATATATAAGTACACTTAGTACGTAGTTATTCCAATATGTGCCGGAAATTTATTTATCAATCTCAATACAGTTAACATACAACATGCACTCTCTCTAAAATATGAAATCTGAAAAGGACGGGGGCTAAAGAACCCACATAAAGTAGCATTGAATTTTTTTTGATACTACATTATCAATAATATGAATCATGTCGAAAATCAATAGTTTAATGTTTCATGATTAACAAATATAAAAACGTTTGATTTTTCAACTTTTATAAATATATTTAGTAAAAGCATTTGAAATATGAAATTAAATATTAGGTTATAGTCTGAGTCCAAAAATACTTTCAGAAATTCCATTTGAGGTGTGCAAATCCCTCACCTGATAGAAACGGTTTTAAGAAAATCAGTATTGCACTGGTCTTGGATTCTTAAAACGGTCGTATCTTTTGCATACGAACTCTATTTTGTATGTTCTTTATATTTTTGGAATCAGGGAAACACGTACTACGAGAGTAGATAGCTTGCTTTGCTCACAAATCCTTAATGCAGACTTTCAATTTTTCAGACGTATTCTTATGGTTGCAGTTTGAGCTATTTGCTTCATTTGTCAGATTACACAATGGAAAGTAAGATACCATCTGATATTTTATAATAGTCGAAATAACTCATTTATTTTATATTAGATGCACTAAAGCTCAATGAGTCAATTTACAAAGAAACTTACTGTGAACTTGACCGTTCATAGTCTTTGACCGAAATTCTGGGATGGCACATTACCTCCTCGTTAAGGGAATTCAGTCTTGAAATTATTTAGTTCTAGATAATTTTGTTTCAATATTATTTTGTTCAACTAGTATTTCATTTAAGTAGTGGAGGGAGAACTATTGAAAAATTATTGATATTTTTTTTTATCCTCATGCTTCCATGTAAACTCCGGCTCTCTACAAGAGTTCCATTGGACATTTATTATAGTTATTCGACTTTGCTTGAGGCTTTTGCTTTCTCGATCCATGATCTTCGCCAGTTCCTTCACGAAATGAAGTTTAGTGTTGACCTGGATCCCATTGAGAGGGAATGTAAGGTTCTCATTGCAGAGACACTACTTAAGATTAGGCACATGGAAGGTATTATAAACTTTATTGAGTTCTTGAGGTAAATTGAGTTTGTAAGCCATCAGACCAATCCTTGGGAGGATTTCATGAGGTTCAATGCAACCAGGGTTTTGTTTACCTTGTTTTCCTTATCTAATGACACCTTTCTATTCTGCTACCTTTAATAGGACACAATTTCTTACTTTGAATTCTATGGGTTTGTGTCTCGTGTCGTCATAGATTTTATGACGATTATGTGTAGCCTTTAATTTTTCCTTTACCTAAACAATCTTTTTCATTGTTTCATGAATGATATTAGTACAAATGTGTAGAGTATCCCTAGCTTGCTTTCTAGCTTGTTGAGTATTCCCAACTTATGCCTAGCATATCATGGGACGACATCTATGTCCGTATATTGCCTTAAATAGATTGGCATTTACGCTAGTGCATTAATTTTTGTTATATGGAAAAGTCAACTAGTGGTGAGCAAATCCCATGAATTGCTGAAGTATATCACCCAAGCACGGAGCATGTATTCCAAAGTTTGTGTCATTCTTTGCTCTAGTCATCCATCTGTGGATGATATGCAGTACTCACATTAATTTTGGTTGTTAGGGACTACTACAATGATAAGTATAATCTGGGAGCGAAGGTGCTTTCTCGATTCGAGATGATAAATATTGGCTTACCATACAGGACCAAAAGGGTAGGCCAGCTGTAACAACGTAAAAATTTGAACAATTTTTCACTTTTGTAACCCATAAAATATCATTTGAAATCATAAACAAATCATTATATCAACATTGTATCAATACAAAACCCAAGATCAAAATATGTATATAAACTCCGGTATGCGTGTGTACGGATCATGCCGACGCCTTCCCACGATCATCGCTAGTACCTGAAACACATAACACATAACACTGTAAGCATAAATGCTTAGTGAGTTCCCCAAAATACCACTCTAACACATAATAGCCACTCGAAGCTGTAACTCTATTGACCCTCAGGTCTATGTGTCTCAGTGGGGCCCTCCAGCCCCAAGTCTCTATGGGCCCTCTAGCCCTAACTCTGTGGACCCGAAGGTCCTAACTCTGTAACTCTGAATCATACATAACACATATCTCAATACATCATAGCACATAAATAACATGCAATTACACTGGCATATAAGTCTAAAATACTTTATCACATAACTCTATTACCACACTAGGTAAAGTATAGTGAGAAGACTCACCTCAGGCGTCTCGGTAAATCTCTGACTCGGTAGGAATATTTCCTACTCTTCGCCTATTCACATAAAGTAAATACTCTTATAAATATAATTCTCAAGACTAGACTCAACATGCCTTTGGCACCCTCAGGAGGGAAAAAGGCTATTTTACCCCCCTCTCAACACAAGTACTCCATTAACCAAACCCTAAAAGTCAACGGTCACACTTTGACCCTACTCGCCGAGTGCACTTTGGTGACTCGGCGAGTTCACACATGTTCTTTAACACTTTGTCCCGCTTGGCACGCCGAGTCCCTCCCTATGCTTGACCAGTCATACTAGGCATGAATCGCGGGGCCACCACGACTCAACTAGCTGAGTCTCAAGAACAACTCGACGAGTGCTGCCTTGAACTCCATTCCTCTAAGTCCCTTCTGACTCACTGAGTCATCCCCCAACTCAGCAAGTCTACTCACTGAGCAATTTACGTGAAACCCTAACCCTACTCGCCGAGTCTCAAGAACAACTCGGCGAGTTCATGCCATGCACAAACTCTACTGGCCTCCTGAGGTCAGATCTGTTTCCCTAAATCAAAGATCTGGCCTTCCCAAGCATGAATGTCACGTAAAGCTCGAAACTTGATGCTTGTATAACAACAACAAGGCATCAAAAAGAGATTTAGTCCCAAAAATGGCAACCTAAGTCTAATAACCCCAAACTAATCCATAAAGCTCCAAGGGTTAAGGTCTCTAGACCTCTTTGAGTCCAGATCCAAGGCACAAACGCGAAGAGGGACCATTTTCTCCACATAATCACTCTCCAAAGGGGTTAGAAAACCCTAACTCTATAGATCAACACCAAAACTGAAGGAGGTTCGAACTATTACCTCAAAATGAAGTCTCTAAATCCTTGGAACTATTAGAATCGCACCTCCCCTCTTGCTCTTGCACCTCCTTCTTGCTAAACCAAAGATACAAGGATCAAAAGTGTCTTCTTCTTCTTCCTTTCAACGATTTGGCTCACTTAGTGTTCTCTCAAGGGATTGGTAGCCGCAATGAGAGGCTATAAGTTCCCTTAAATAGGCTCCAACCCAGGGATTTAGGATTTCATTAAACATCGTGGACTTGCCGAGTGCACTAAGGACTCGCCAAGTCCAAAGCGAATCCGGATGAACAATCACGACCCTACTCAGCGAGTCTATGCATCAACTCGCCGAGTTCTTTCTCAAAATTCAAAATAATTAAATAAAAAATATACCTGGAAACTCGGTTGTTACACCAGTACCCTGATACACTAGGCAAGATACCAGTCGACATGACCGAAGGGGAGGCTAGCACCCTGATATGCTAGGCAAGGTACCGGTCGACAGGACCGAAGGGGTATTTAGTACCCAGTTATGTTATGCATTATGTATTATGTATGGTATGTGGTATGACGGGGGAACTTACTAAGATTCGTGCTTACAGTTTCAGTTTTGTTTCAAGTACCTCTTCAACAAAGGGGAAAGAGCCGATGCGGTAGCTGCACATAACACACACACACACACACCAGATTTCCGTATTATGAGATTCTTGGGATTGTACTCTGACATTATTATTATTCACCAAGATTGAAAAGGTGTAGGAGGAATTGGCAACAGAAAACAAGATCATGGATGAGTTGGATGAGAAAACTCAGAAGGTCAAGGTCCTCTGTAAAATTAAAGAATGCTACCAAGCGTATTGACGATCTTGAGAATCAGAAGACAATTGTCAAAAGTTGTGTTTCTGAAAAAATCAATATCTACTAAGGCTTGTGGAGACTCATGACTCTTTGTTCACGATCTCTGTTCGACAACACTTCTCAGAAAAACTTCAACCAGTTTTTGCAATGCTCAACCAAATTGAAGGTGTTTCGGGAAGCTGAGCTCTTCCGAAACAATAGGGAGACAAAAAACCTCAGTCAGATAATGAGCCTCTGCTAAAGAAAAAGACTAATGAAGAAGATCCACAGAATTAATCTGATCAGAAGGGTAATGAAGCTTCTACATCAAAAGCAAAAGAGAAAATGGTTAATGTTGAAGAAGAAGAAGAAGAAGAGCTTTCTGACTGCAAGAAGCTAGTGTGAAAGAAGCGTGACAAATAACTTGATGATCTTCAGGTTCCTCAGAAGGAACTAGAAGCTCAAGAAGATGAGGTTAAAAATGCTAAACGCATGCTTGAAACTCAGAAGACACTATTTCCTTCTTGGTCAATGGAATGTATGCAGAAAGAAGCAATTGATGATCCTATCATCTACTGGCTGGATCCCTTAATTTCATTCGATTTGAATAATGATGTGGAATGTCAACTTGATTTTCCTATCACACCTAGGGCCTTTCTGTTTCATTGCTTTGAGAAGATTGAAAAGTCTCAGATCTCAGATAGTGTTGTTACTCAAAAGCTCCACTCTTTCTATCTGAAGTATGCCAAGCCTCAGAAAATGACTTGGAGTCTTAAGAAATTTTGTGCTTTAAGAGTCAAATTGTCTGATCAGACTGAAGATTTTCTGAACATTCAGTTCAAGGTATTTAGGGGAGCTGATCAAATCATGGACGAGTTTACCCTGGTAGACTTTCCTTTCATGAATCCATATGATTGGATCTCCTTGTTCTTGATTGTGAGGAAATAGGAAGAAAAATACAAGTCTATTGTTGCACATATGAAGAGGATGCTTATATGCTACATTTATGAGATTGCAAAGATGGATATAGAGATAAGGTCTGTTCTGAAGAAAAGGCCAAATTTGAAGCCAGAAGAAGAACCGAAGGACCTACATAAGCCAAAGGTTGGAAAATCCAAAATGAGCATTGGAGTGTAGTGTACAACCCAAAAGAAGGTGAAACAGTTTAGAAGAGCATGTTCTTTTTGCGAGACAAACATCCGTACTCTTCCGCTGGTCTGAAGGCTATACTCGCAATAACTGAAGCATATAAGGAGAACCTGTTGCTTATCTAAAGTGCTTTTCAGATATGATCAGATGGTACCTGGTGTTCCGAAACAATCTTCTGAACTTGATGCCAAAATTATTCAACATGCAGAGAAGACAACAATGAAGACTCTCCTTCTGAACTTGACAAAAAAAAGGGAGATTGTTGGGTTTAATAGTGTTGTGTCAAATGTATGCATAATATAGTTAGTTTTGTTAAGGTTTGGGCCTATCCATTCTCAACTTAGCTATTTAGTCCAGCCAATATATAGTGCATGCATGTATCATTAGGGTTAACGTTTTGTCGCCTACCTAGCTCTCACAAAGAAGTTCTTTTATTGTGAACTCTTCTATAGCTATTATAATCAAAGCGTTCGACACTCTTTTGATCTTTGTTTTCTTATCATTTAATTCACATTCTTTATTATAGAATATGTCGATCATAATTATTTTTCTCATAGTATTAATAGGAAACGTACTAGTAACCATAGTGGTTCCTGACGAGCATCTCCAGCACCTATCATGATTTCACTTCCTTTGCCACCCTGATTCTTCTATTTCGAGAAGTCCTTCTTGAACACCCTGGTTGGTTGCACTCAAAACAATGTTGACTTCCTCTTATAGAAGTGGTTGAGGGTTTGTTGTTCAGGGATTTTCTACAAAACTTAGACGTGTGACCTCTCAAGTTACGGATGCTATAGGCCAAACAATTTCCGACATGATGGAAATTCCACTTGGTACATTGGGGTCATGGTACCCTGATGGATACACTACTCAGCCAATTGTTAAGTAAATTGCTTGGAACTATTAAAGGTAGTGGGTATGAACGTAGTAACGAGACTTTAAATGGGTGAAGGTAATCCCTAGATGTACCTTTAAATATCTTTTTATTCAAGGTTCTCCATTCTCGGGCAAAGGTTTTGTGAGGTCGTTAAATCAGGACCCTCTAATCCTCTCATGCTAAGGTTCCAAATTATAGGGAGAGAACTTAGTTCCTACCAATTTTAAACGATAGAGAAAGAAGTTTGGAGACTACTGGATGATCGATTGGGAACTATGGGTTTCTCTACTACGATGGTAGCAGAGCTATTGGTTCTTTGTCCTTCTTTGGGTTTAGTAAAACTAGCAAAATCTGAACATTATCCCAAATTTTTTTGTATTTTTATAAAGTATATGTTGTTTTGGAGTTGGTATAGGGTTTCATAGGTACTAGGTTTTGCAGTTACTCTTGAGAACATCCTTCAATGTCTACAACTTTCAACCATTATAGTGTATCGAACTCCTTGCTGAAGGTTGGTTGTTCACCGGCCCAACCATAAATTACATAGGCATATGCTCTAGGTTTATTTATGGTATGGCTTATGTACGGTACTAAACTTAATTAAGATGTTTGACCTAAAGGGTTGAGTTGGTAGTTTTAGTTGAAGGCATGTTTGAATTTTATTAAGTGTCCTCCTCGCGGGTCAGAGTATACATAACTCTTATATATTATTGTTGCTGAGGTTTGTTGTATTATTAAATTTTGTTTTGTACTCCAAGACTACCAATTACAGATGAGGGCTACACAGGAAACACCTTATGGCAGTACCATTTTAGCAATTACGTCGTTCTGAAATCCAACAACCCTATACGACCCTTCAAACCAGATTCCTTGTAATGCAAGTAGCCAAGAAGTAGTGTAATTAATAATAATAATAATTTTAATAGAAGCTAGTTGCTATAGTTTTATTCCTATTTCGAGGATACGAGTTTTCAATAGCCAATATAGCTCTCATACCAATCTATCACACCTTCAACCGAGGCGATGGAACACGCTAGGCTGTGCAACCAAGTTCATAGATCACATGTAAACTAAATATATAACACAAGTACAACAATAAACAAAACAACATTTGTGTTCCATCTTGATATTTGAATACAAGTATTTTTTTTTACAAATAATAATAATACAAGAATTGCCTTGACAGATAGACATATAATACAAGTAAACTAGGTCACCTGTAATCTAATCCATATTGAATGTCTATTTAGTGATTTCCTAAGAATACATCTGGTTTAGAGGTTCAACACAAGGTTAGTGAGTGTTACAGGTTTTTTGCTAAAAGGAGTAATACTTTCAATAAGTCTAGAAAGTATTATCTTTGTGTGTATAACAAAAGTTAAAACAGTGTTTGGAATGAGTCTTTAAAAGCCTAAAATGTATGTCTGTATAAGTAAATCCATACTTTAAATTGTGTTTGTAATAATCCTTGAAAGCCAAAATATATCTTTTGTATAAGTAAATCCATACTTTAAATTGTGTTCATAATAAACCTTTGAATATCTTTAAAACCAAATTGTTATGTTACATAAGTAATTCCATACTTAAAAATACTTTTAAAAGCAACCAATCCCTTGGTCATAGTGAGAGAGAGAGAGAGAGGGATATTCTAGTTAAAGATTAAAGTGAGTCCTATAACCGAGCTATACGACTTGAGTAAACCTCTCCTACAACGCTTCACTGGACGTTGTAGTAAAAATTGTAGACACCTATCACCCGCTTCGATTGATCGGTTGAGGGTTGTAGCTAGCAATCGCAGGTGGAGATGTCAACCCTTATAGATCTATACATATGTATCTCGCTCCGAAGATTAACGGTTACAGTAACGTGGGTATACTAAGTATTTAAATTCAGTTAATGAATAATGTCTTACTAAAGGCCCTTAACTAAAAAGTTTGTGAATAACTCTTAGGCCTAACTTAATTGTGATTAAGTCAGAAGGCATAATGAATATTGTTGTATGAGGTTTATCAAAGCTGAGTATGTTTAACATGTATGCAAAAGTATGGTGTGCTCGCGTTTATAAAAAAGAATATTTTAAATCAATGAACATATGTACACGTGTCAACATTGTACTTGAAAATGTAAATAAACATGCATAGTAATAACTTGAATCCTTGAAATACTCTAGAGTTTCATAACTTGCTCGTTATAATATGCAATGTCACATAAAAATCATATAATTTTGTATCGTGTAGTATTTCTTGTGTGAACCGGTTATTTCACGATAAAATAACCATAATACGTATAGGAAAATTTTATACTAGTTTATTTGTAACAATATGGTAAATTGTTAAATAATAATATTTTTATAAACTACATTTATTGTATTTTCGTGTAAAAGATAATACATTTTAATAATATATATATATATATATATATATATATATATATATATATATATATAGAGAGAGAGAGAGAGAGAGAGAGAGAGAGAGAGAGAGAGACATGTATCCCCCTCCCCCTCCCCCCCCCCCCCCACCCCACCCAAAAAAAAATTATTAAATTATAAAAAAGGGCCCGTAAGCACTCATCCCTGAAGCGTGAGTTACAATCGTTTGAATTCATATATTTTTGAGAAACTCGTTATGAGAAGCCAAAAATTCACAATTCTCGAAAACTGAAGCACCTTCGGGGTCGTTTTATTAGCAATATTCACTATAGGGGTTGTTTTTTAATTTTGCTAAATTGTAAGGGTTGTTTGGTAATTTAATTTAACAAATATGACTGTTTTGGAAAAAAAAAATTAACAAACGAGGGGTTGTTTGTGGATAAATTAAATCATTTTTTGGGTATTGGGAGTGATTTTGATTAACTAAATCAAGGGAGGGGTGATTTTGTTTATTTTAAATTAAGGTTTGAGTCTTTTGACCTTTGACTGTACAAAATTGGAACCGATAGAAACGGTAAAGGCATGTTTGCTTCGTCATTTGTTGAACAGGAAGGGAAGAACGTCTGCAAGCAACGAACGAAAGAGAGGGAAAAGCGAAGGCTCATCGGTCGATTTGCAAAGCCGAGATGGTCTCCGACTCCGAGGTCCGACTAGGCCGAAGAATAAATGGAAGAATTAGCGAGGATGTGTTCTTCTGGGTCGGCTGCTAGGTGCGAAGGAGAACGATAGATCGGTGACTCCGAGGATTCGATGGTGCGGCGATGACCGACAACTCGCGAGGAGAGGAGGGTGTCGACCTCCGACGACCCTCCTTGGTCCATTTGTTCCGTAGTTGGTAGCCACAGATCGAGAAAAAAAAACGTGATCGAAGAACGGACATAGCCACAGTGGGCAGCCCCGGTGTTCAAGTGGTTTGCGGGGTAGGGATCCTCCTATCTCCGGTGACCCGTCTATGGGATCCCTGCTCTTCACCGGTGGCAGCAATCGGAAGGAAAGAAACGCAGAGGTAGTGGCAGTCGACATTTGGGGTATGCAGTTTCCTCTGGTGAGTTGTTCGTCTCCGTTTCTCCCTTTTAGTCGTCATCTGTTTGGGTCAAGAACAGCAACAGCGGTTGCCAGGGGAGGGTGCGATGGGGCCAGACGGGGCTGCTCCGGTAATCCTGCTTGCTTCATTTCTCTATTATTATTATTATTTTTTATTTTTATTGTTTGGCAGTAAAGGAAAGGAAAATGGATGTTTGGCTGTTGATGTTTGATAGGGAATGGAATCAAGGATTCATTTGTTTTCTGTTTTGAATTTGATGGGAAGGAAGAAGAAAGGGTTTGATTTCTGATGATGAATTGCAACAAAGACGGGGGATGGGGGTGTTTGAGTGTTCTAACGGGTTGATTAGACTTCCAATAGCCTGTTCAATTTTGATGTGCACGACTAAGGAAAAAGCAATGCGTGACAGCTCACAATGAGAAATAGTTTCTAACTAGATTGTTTGTTTTGTGTGTATCTTTATATAAAACAAGGGTTGTACAATAATTTGTATAAATATAGAAAATTGTTCACAATTTTCTTTTTACACAATATTATGTAATTAATATGCCTTTATTTTTTATAATGATAGTAATTTTTTTTATTAATTTTCTTGCAATTTGAGTTTTCTATTGTCCATTATAGCAATGTACTTT